TGCTCGTCTAGACAATTTTTGATGAATAACATATCAAAGAAATTTAAATACAGGCCATCCCGTTAATGTCTTGAATTGAAATTGCTCTTTATCATGCAATTCTTCCGATAAACACAATTAATGAAATATCTGGGCTTCTTCTAATTGGAGGTGTTCGACTTAAAGATGTTCATTTAACATAAGGTTATTTGGTCGTGGGACTCTGAAAAGTGTTCCACTTAGGAGGTGTTCGACTAAAAGATGTTCATTTAACATGATGTTAATTGGTCGTGGGACTCTGAAAAGTGTTCTACTAACAGAAGTGTTCCACTTCTCCATGTGTTCTACTTTACAGCTTTCACTAAACATTAAGTTTACATATTTTAGCTAAGAAATATGTAAACTTGTTTAGTGAAACCTGTAAATGAAGAGCAAATTGTGAGTGTCCAAGTGTCCAATTTCCTTTTAATATAACGAATGATTTGTTTCAATTTATGTTTGTTTTCCATTTGAAGTTGGGGAAACGAGAGAACAAATAATCATGGTCTTCATTTACAATTGAGATCATGAGATATTATTATTGAGATGTGGTTGTGTGAGATGTGTAACTATTACAGGAAATTGTGTCATTGATCTCCATATAAGAGTCCTATTTGTAATCACTCAACATTATAATTATATTGCAACGAACAATGAAATAATACTGGATTAATTTGGGGGGTTGGGCAAATTTTGAAATTTTGGCTGCTATTTAAGTTGGTGGATTGACCATCATCAATTGTATTGCTCACTTCACAGCTCACCACTGATAGAGTAATTTTGACTCTTGGTATCAGATTGTTTTGTCTGAACCAGCACAGATTCTGTAGATCGTTGGGAAATGGTTTAAAATTGGCATTTTGGCTGTGTTTTTCCAGATTTTCAGCACAGTTTTTTTCTGGGATTTTTTTCAAAAACTGGTGGACACCTCATTTGGCAGTTTTTATCAATCCTCCAAATCCGCCAAATTAAAACAGCCATCAAATTAAGGCAATTTATTTTACAGTACCCTTTATTTGCACCTTCATCTTGGATGACTAATTAGAGATATTGAAAAGCCATATTATATCTGTCCATCCATCCATCTGTCTGGTAAATCTTTGTAGAATGATTGTATATTTTTATTCCATCACCCCAAAATATATGGGGCTGTGCATTTAATATAACAAGATGTTTGTCAATTGATCTGTCAAGCCAATAACTCAAATACCAGTTGTCAGATTTGGTTTACTTTGTTAGTTTGATGCTCTTATAATGGACATGGGATCCAAGAAATGGCATCTTGCTTTCTGGTTGATTATGCAACTCCAGTAGTCTTGATAATGCACCTCAGGAATTCTTTCATTCATTGATATTTTGCAATGGACAAAAATTATATTCAATAAAACCAAAAGGAAAGGTATTTTTTCCTAGATCCCTTTCAGCAGCATTCTCAAGTATAGATACTTTGTAAATCAGTATCGATATCATAAATTAAGTTTTTCTAGTCCTAACACACATGATTAATTACAAGGGGTGAGCAGTTATCGCGCCTTTGTGTACAGATTATAATTATATCAAATGATAAACTGGTGAATTAAGGGAGAAGTGTGAAATGGTCATCGATTATATTACCATAGATGCATTAGTGTTGACATGGAAATGGATAGCTGAGAAAGTGATCCTTTTAACCCTTTGGAAGTTATCTGAGAGGGCAAAATCAAGCAATGCTTCATCTTTATAAAAGTGCATTCACTGTAATACTATACGTATACTATGATAAACAGGGTGTCCATAACAATTGACCTTTTTTCTATATACATACATATAGAAGGATAAATAGATGGCGGCACATGTGTTGGTCGGGCTAGAATACCATTATGTACACATATACAGAGATATAGCAGAAAATCACTTAATCTCTTGTTTTTTCAAATATTTCCATTTGGATTCATGTGAAACTCAATTGGGATGTATTCGTTACTATGTGATGTTGTTGACATGTGGATTGTGATTTAACATTAAAATTGTGACCCTCGGAAGAGTAAATGTATAATTAAAGATTTTTCTCATCATTTTGTCAATTGGAATTTAGTCTGACCGTTTTCAGAAAACTTGAATATCCTGGAAATTGGAATTAAGGTAAATAAGTGGGGAAATCAAAGTTGTTTAAATTGAAAATCACACTTAGAATTCAAATATTCTATCAAAAAGAAGAAACTGTTGGTTTTTAGTGATTGAAAATTCAGATATTCTAAAATCTCATTAAAATGGCACTTTAATGAGATTTCAAAGCTGTATGGAAAAACCTGCTCCTGTATAATTAGAATACCTTTTGTTTGTGAACACCTTTGTATTAAGTAGAACACCTTTGAAAATGAACATCTCTGGAGGTGAAGCACATATACTAATGATCAAACATTTTTCAAAGTGTAAATGGGTCAATTGATTCAGTGATAATACTCAGACCTTCCCCTTACTTGAACACCTTTAAGTAGAGTACTTGGTTTTTCAGCGGAACCAAAGGTGTTCTACTTACACTGGTTTTACTGCCTATATGCTCATACATGTTAAAAAACAGACAAAATTAGCATTTTTCATATAGCATATTGTATATTTACATTTTCTAGTTGATATCAACAGTCAGTTAAGTCAGTTCATTTCTAAAAAATAAATACGATTCATAATATATATACAATGTGAAGACATTAAAACTGTTAAATCTTGGTTATAGAAATAATCTGGATTTTCATGATTGAATATCCAAAATTAAGTCAATATGATATACAATTTCCCATCATTAATGTGGTTTTAGAATTATTTATATCACCTATATGTACAAGTTCACAAATGTGGTAATATAAGTTATTGAATGATTTGAAGTGCAATACAGGATATATTCTGTTTGAGAAATTCCGTATTGGAACGAGACAGAATATATCCTGTGTTGCACTTCAAATCATTCAATAACGTTTTTATCGTGTTATCCTCTGTATCACTACTGAGATTGTCTCCTCCATACCAATATTTTCTGTATTGCGACGGAGATGATCAACGGGGACAATCTCAGTAGCAATACAGATTGGTACAGCACAAGAACTGACCAATCAGAGGGCTTCATTTTTCAGATCATACGATAATAACCTATATAGGTTTTGTCTCCGATCTCATATTCTCGTACTTTTTAAAAAATAAAGGTCAACTGATTCTTAGAGCTTCAATCTACAAACATTGTTTTCCAAATTAACTGTCCTTTTAACACAGAGGCTATACCAAAATATGTGTGACAATTGAACGCGTAGTTGTTACAGCCCCCATGGTTAACATCAAATAAACATTGTTGAAAATTAAATGACAGGATGAAATGGTGGAAAAATATCAATCAATCAAATTTCCTGATATAAGATTGATTGATTGATTGGTATTTTTGTTAAATCATTTTACATCTTATAGTGTTTTGTGAACCTTTATGACAATCTTGGATTTTTTTATTCCAAGTTTTACATTGTAGTTTTCTGCAGCACACATTTAGTAACCCCAGTTTACATTATTGTAGTTGTCTGTAGCACACATTTAGCACTTCCAGTTTACATTATTGTGGTTGTCTGCAGCACATATTTAGTACTTCCAGTTTACATTATTGTTGTCTGCAGTACACATAAAGTAACCCCAGTTTACATTATTGTGGTTGTTTGCAGCAGACATTTAGTACTTCCAGTTTACATTATTTCGATTGTCTGCAGCATACATTTAGTACTTCCAGTTTACATTATTGTTGTTATCTGCAGTACACATTTAGAACTTCCAGTTTACATTGTTGTTATCTGCAGCACACATTTAGTACTTCATGTTTACATTGTTGCAGTTGTCTCCAGCATATTTAGTACTTCTAGTTTACATTATTGTGATTGTCTGCAGCATACATTTAGTACTTCCAGTTGATATTATTTTTGTTGTCTGCAGCAAGCATAAGTAGTTCCAGTTTACATTGATGCAGTTGTCTCCAGCACACATATAGTACTTCCAGTTTACATAGATGCAGTTGTCTCCAGCACACATTTAGTACTTCATTTTTAAATACTGTTTCTCTCAGCACCACACATTTAGTACTTCCAGTTTACATTATTATTACGGTCTGCAGCATGTATTTAGTACTTCCAGTTTACATTGATGCAGTTGTCTCCAGCACACATTTAGTACTTCCATTTTAAATTACTGTTTTTGTCAGCATCACACATTAAGTACTTCCAGTTTACATTATTATTCCTGTCTGCTGCTTACATTTAGTACTTCCAGTTTACATTATTGTGGTTGACTGCAGTACACATTTAGTACTTCCAGTTTACATTATTGTGGTTGACTGCAGTACACATTTAGTACTTCCAGTTTCACTTCTTGATTGGTCATCACCATTCTGAATAGCTTCGTTCACGACAATTGTATGATTGCCTGTTACATCCCCATTTGTGATGTCACGATTACTATTGGTATCAAGTGCAATCTCAATTGTTGGAACTTTCTGAAACTTTGTGCATGATTGTCTATTCCTTCGACAGCAAAAACACAGAATGTCATTCCGGAATGTCGGATCAAAGGAAAATGGAAATATGAAAGTGATGCTGTAGTTAAAATATGCTAAAAGTGCCGCTAGATAACTTAGGAATTTCATCGTATTTTCCACAGCAACTGTCCGTGTTTTATACACAGTTACAAATTCCATAACATTGATCAAAATCAGAGGTGCTGAGAATGTCAGAAATATTAATGACAGGATGATGATGACTCTCGTCATATACTGTTGCATTCTGGGAGTTTCTATAGAGTTTAAACAGCAGTTGATTAGAATCAGTATGTTAAGGAAAAGGATGACCACAAGTGGAATATACGAAGTGATGAACGCAATAGCGACAGGCCAGGTGTTGTTAAAAAAATAATGATTCTCTTGATCGGACATGCAGTTCTTGTAATCTTTGTTTAGTTCATACGTCCAGACATTTTGGACACTTAGGGATCCAGTGAAAACGATAAGTAGTACCGTTGTTACTTTCGCGATAAATACGGTGCATATGCTCTGAGCTCGCAGCGGATACCACAAGAAGATAAATCGATCCACTGTCATGGCAACGACCAGCCAGATGCACAGGGCCTTGATGAATTCAGAATAAAACTTCCAGATCCGACACATCCAGTCCGAGGTGTTTGCGATGTATCTTGTTTGCGTGACAATATGGATCCAATCAGGTGCGATGATTAAGTTAAGTATGAGAGTATTTGTAATTGCGAGAGCGAGAAGATATACACTGGCGGAATTCTGTTTCACGTACCGTTTATAAAGCACTCGTGCTGTGAATATATTCCCTATTGTTCCAAGGACTATTAATATTGGTTTGAAATATATCTGCAGGTTTGTTATTATTTTATATTCGGTACTTTGTAGGAAATCAAGCTGCCTCTTTTGTAGTATATAAAAGTCATCCAAATATTTATTGCCTATATCCTGCGAGTTATTCTGTAGCGTCTGATTGGCAATGTCTGATAATTGATAAAGGATTGATATATCGTCGGTGTTCATGTTATCGTTGGATTGATTCATCATCATTAAATTGGAATTTAGGTCTGTCATTTTATACAGATTTTGCCTGAACTATATCATCAATTATTTACATTTTTATATTGATCAATTTTAGAGTAATCTACCTCGCTGTCGTTAATTAGCTTGGAGATGTGAAGAAATCAATTGATTATATTACCTTTAATCAAATGTCATAAATTCGGTGATGATTTTAGATCCTACAATCCTAATAACAAAGTCAATCAAATTATCTGTCCACAGTGATGAGGCTTCAACAATTTGTGGGTTCTTTTCTCTCACTGGTATTTCTTATCCATATGTGCGACATTGTGCTCAATAATTACTCGAGGGGAGTTTTGTCAAATTATTGTGTCCCTTGTGTAGAGAATATAAATCATCTAAATGTTATTGGCACATTTGCTAATTCTTGAATTCACTTGATTTGATTGTAGTACTACCACAGAGCCGTAAAGTCCCAATTAGATTGTTTGTGTAGTCACGCAGAATGTACTAATTTCCTGATTCACGAAAGCTGTCAATTCTTCTGTTTGAATATGACTTTACATCAGATGAATCTCTCTTCGCAAATTTTAAAGTCTTGAACTCAATAGGTTCAATTACAATTTGTTCTCTTTTCTATATAAGGTTGATTGCATATTGATGATTTTTGTCATTTGCTTCATCAATTGCTTGCTCTGTTGAAATTCAATGTTTTCGACACTCATAAACTTCTCGCATTGAGTTCTCTTAATTTAGCTTGTACAATCAAATCCTTCTACTGATATGATAGACTATTCCATATGTAGTTGGCAATGTGGAAATATATTTACAGTCATTCATATATTTATGAGCCAAGATTCCTCGATCCGGTAACGCTTAACATGTAATTATAGAGCATCCCTACATTTTTTATTATCTTTCACTTTATAGTCTGTCATACTCCATGTGACTCTGTTGCTTTTATAGCTAGTTTATGATATGTTTCGTGATGTGATCAAATATCCTCTCGTATCCAATATATAGATTGGTAATCTCGATAGGTATTCCAGTGTCTGAATCTGCAACTCGCTGACAATTAATTTTTCAGCTCCACTTTGCAGGGCCTGGTTTATTAATTTTTTATATGTCGTTGTTTTCTAATCAAGGCAGTCTGGAAATATAGATAAATCGTCAATTAGCCAAACATATTCTCAAAAGATATATTGCATCTGAGTGAAACCATCAATTCTTGTCATTTTTACACTAAATTCAATATTCATTTCTTTACTTTTCCGGTAGGATTTTTTGTCTATTAGTATAATTATTTTATTATATTCAAATCATATACAACTATCTGAAGAATCGATGGCATGATAATAAGTTATACAAATTGTTATGTACATTTACTAGTTTTTTTTCAAGGATGAGTAGAGGGGCTATTTTTATTTTTTTTCTTATATGAATTTCATTCTTAGGTTCAAATGGTATGGTAGACCCATATGTCATATCGTAGATGAAGCTCTTTAAATCAAGCAAAATCAAACTATTTTAAAAGATCTTATGCCATGTTCTGAAAACCCTAAACACCAAATTGGTTATCTATATAAGTTCTCTTTTTTAAAAAAAAGAATATGATGGAAAATTGTGTGATTTCTATGATATTATGAATATTGTATATGTTAATGTAACTGCTTTCAAATGTTTTCTATGAATAAAAAAGTAATAAAAAAAAAAAAAATTCTCATAAAATCCACAATCATCTTTTTATTTTCAGTAGTCATAGTTATCAGTTCTTCATGTTAATTAATGAATACATCATACCATTAGGGAAACTTGTACTTAATACACACACTTTAGTTAATAGTACATTAGACTAATGGCGGGAAGAATAATGATATTTCTATGAATTAAGTTGTTTATTAACCTTGTTTTTTAATGTGAAAAAATACAAATTACAAAGAAACTTCAAATGTATTAATCAACTGATATAACTTATTCTCGAGGCCTTTATATGCAACTCTATATAGTTGGGGTTCTCAAAACATATTTATCAAATGATATAACGTATTCTCAAGGCTTTTACATGCACAAATTACAAAGAAACCTCGAATGTATTAATCAACTGAAAGAACTTATTCTCAAGCGAAAGGCCATTATGCAAAGCAGGACAGTCCCCAAGATGCTAAGGGTTTCTAAAAAATGTTTTTATAACTTATTCTCAAGGCTATTATATGCAAAGCAGGACAATTACACTACCCTACCACACATGACCACATTTAAAATGATACAGGGTACAGTTAAGTTGCAAATGGAGCTGGTATTCTCTATCTTTGTCCGTTGGGCTTTTCTGAATAACATATTCTCAAGGCATTTACATGCAAAGCAGAACAATCCCCAAGATGTATTTCGAAAAATGTACCTGAAAGTATATCAACAGCACAGATAAATCAATCAAAAAGGCAAGACTGAACTAGAAAATGTGTATTTGGGAGAAAATGTACATGCCAAAAGGTCTGAAAATATTGATTGCTTTTTCTGTGCTGTTGATACACTTTTACATACATTTTTTGAGACAGCCTGTATTTCAAGCTGTCAAACTGTTACTGCCTCTTAATATTCTTTCATTTAGAGTTGCAATGTAATGTCAAAATCAACCTTTTAATTTTTTGTTCTTGAACTGAGCTGTCATATTTTTTAAGTTTTGAGAGCTTAAAAGTTCATATCTATAGGTACCTGAGGAATTTAACCTGAATAATCCCAAAAGAATTATAAGTATTCATTCTGAAATAAAACTATTCCAAAATGAAAAATCTTGATTCTACTTGATTGCCCCCTTTAAACATAGGTTGAATAGTATTGATGGCTTGCGAACTTGAAATGAGCATTTGGTGATTAAAAAAGAAAAATCATGACCAACAGAGCAGAGGGTATGCACCTTAAGGATCTCATGTCCGTGATTTAGGTCTGCTATTAGGGAGCTTAACTCATTTCCTTTGTCATCTAATCCGACGTTTTTGCTTACATTATTACACTATAATCACTTTCCAATGACATTTACAACAGGCAAATAACCTATTCTGAAGTACAGGACATCTTGATTTATAAAATATTATATTAATTAAGATCACCACAAGCTATTCTCTGTATGAAGTTTACCATAAATACAAGCAGCTTGGCACAGTTGTATTTGCTGGTGATTTTAATGGCCATTTGAGTGCAAAAAGTGGCCCAAGATGTAGCATTTCGCCAAATTCTAGGGGTCTTAAGATAGAAGATTGGTTATTAGAATGTAATCTTTTTTCTGTTAATTCAAGTGACCTTGCTGATGGTCCGTGGTTTACATTTTACAGCTGTAATGGCAAAAACGTGTCTTGCGTCGACCTTTTTGCAATTCCTACGTGTAAAAAAGATTTAGTAAAAAAATGCACAGTTTTGGATGATCACTCTCTACAGATCTCCGATCACCATCCTGTTATACTTTCACTAGATCTCTCTATAGATACATGTTACCTTACTCAATCGAGTAATAAATCTGTTTTAAGGTGGAATAAAGCTACAGCTCAGAACAGATCTGACTATGCTAACTCAGTCTCTTCTAAACTGGAACATTTCATAGTTCCTAATGATTCAATTTCTAGCCTTTCTAGAGCTACTGAGGACTTAGTTAGAATAGTCATTGAAAGCTCTGATAGTTTCATTCCAAAATCGAAATTTAGAAAGTTTCTAAAGCCTTACTGGACTAATACTGTCAAGGAACATCATAAGAACATGAAGTCGCACCGCTCCATTTGGATTCAGGACGGTAAACCATGCGGTCTAAAACACGATTCATATAGGCTTTATAAGCTCTCTAAACGGAGGTTTGCTAAAGAATTAAAATCAGCAAGGGCTGATTATGAATTTTCACAGATCCAGCAACTCGAAAACGCAAGCGAGGTTGATTCAGCATTTTTCTATCGGAAAATCAATTGTTTTAAAAACAAAAATGCCCAATCAACGAATCACATTCATGAGCTTAAAGTAAATGATGTTATCTACAGAGACGCTGATGATGTAAGACAGATCTGGGCTAATCACTTTGAAAAACTTGGTAGCCCACATAACCCCTCACATTTTGATAATAATCATAAGCTTAAAGTTGAACATGAATTCTCCTTAATGAAGGTAAATTCAACATTTAACCAAGATGGTGTCTTTGATGTACCCATATCTTGTCAAGAAATTTCAAACACTGTAAAATCGTTTCAAAACAACAAAGCACCTGGGATGGACGAAGTGGTCGCTGAACATTTAAAATATGGTGGTCCACACTTAACTCAAAAGATCTGCGAAATTTTTAACGCAATTGTTAAAGTTGAACGCTTACCAATTTGTTTTAAGATAGCAATTATGATTTCATTATTCAAAGGGAAAAATAAAGATCCCACATGTACAGATAATTTCCGTGGTCTTACACTCACGTCGGTTCTTTTTAAGCTATGGGAAAAGATAGTTTCTGTAAGACTCATTCCTAAATTTAAGATTTTAAAATGCCCTAACCCACTTCAATTTGCCTATCAGGAAGGCTCTGGAAGTCAATTTGCTATGTTTGTACTTTCGGAAGCCATTCACCATTATAGTGAACAGAAAAGCAAACTATTTTGTGCATTTTTGGATAATGTAAAATGTTTTGACTACTTGTGGAGGATAGGACTTTTCCACAAATTATATAACCTTGGTATAAATGGGAAAGCGTTCAAGTTAATAGTAGATAGCTATACCGACACAATGGCGAGCGTATTATATATGGGAAAAATGTCGAGAACTTTTGAAATAAAAGAGGGCTCGGGTCAGGGCCGGGTCTGTAGCGCCATCTATTTTAACGTCTTTATCAACGGTCTTATTGAAGACCTATGTAACTCAGGTGTCGGCGTAACTATCGGTGATACTCTAATCCGGGCATGCATTTTAGTGGCGGATGATACGACTCTTTTGGCGTCTTCCCCTGCTGACCTACAGACCCTACTAAACATTGTATATGAATATAGTAGCAAATGGAGGTTACTGTACCATGCTGGGGAAGACGGCAAAAGCGCCGTGGTCACATTCAATGAGACATCAAAAGCCAGAAATCAAGTGTGTTACTTCTTAGGCAGTGATACTATTCCTAACGCAAATACTCAACAATACGTTGGTAACGCTTTGAGAAGTGATTTTAAATGCAAAGACATGGTAGTTAATGCATGTAAAAAAGCCAAAAATTCGTATTACTCAATTGCCAATGTCCGCATTGTAAAGGATGCAAATCCTCTTACTTCATTAAGAATCTGAATCAACATAATATTACCTGCCATGTTATTTGGATGTGAGCTTTGGTCAAACCTAACCAAAAAAGACATTTATTTGCTAGAACTTACACAACGTCAAGTAACAAAAGCAATTCAATGAGATTTCCGTCCGATGTAGTTTTATCGACCCTTGGATTATGGACAATATCTGCTAGGATCGATAAGGCTAAATTGGGGTTTTTCAACAGATTATGTAGATGCAAACATTTTATTACTAAAAAAGTCTTCATTTTAAGATTGGCAAGTTATTTGTCGAACAGGGAAACTTTTAAACAGAAAGGGTTTATCAATGATCTATACAATCTGGCTGAAAAATATGAATATATACCAGACCAAATTCAACAACTCATCTGTAATGGCAAATATCTGATTAAGGAGAAGTGGAGACTGCTTACTAAATCCCAAATTCATATTTTTGAGGAGAAAAAATGGCAAGAAAGCTGCCAACAGAATGTCTCTTTAAAATATTTTCGTAACATCCATACGAACCTCAGCCCAAGCATAATGTGGGAATTGGGTAGACAATTCCCAAAATGCAGTTGGAATTAAGGCAATCTGATTCATTTATCCTTACCTAATGTATATGAAAAGAAGTGTAAAATGTGTGACACCATTATTATTACCAATGAGTTCATAATCATGCATTACCTATTGCATTGCCAAAATACCAGAATTATCTGTGAGAGAGACAAACTTTTTAATTTGCTAGTCTCAATTTTAGACAGATAACTGGTGTCAAGCTGTTTTCTGCTGACACACATGTTTTTATTGATGCCATACTAGGAAGTCAGGCAGATGTTCTCCAACAATTAGATGATGACACATTTTGTAATTTTTTACTAACTATTGCAAATAAGCTGCAATTTGTGCAGCACTATTTCATGTTAATATTATTCTTACATTTCATGATTATTCTCTATTGTATAAAGTAACTGTATAATTGTAATTATTATGTTTGTTGCTCCGATTAATTTTCGGGAATAAAAGAAACAATAAACAATATGCTGTCTGGATGAGATTTTTATGGTATCAGATTGAGATTGGTATGGTATCAGATTCAGATTGGTATGGTATCAGATTCAGATTGGTATGGTATCAGATTCAGATTGGTATGGTATCAAGATGAGATTGGTATCCTGTCAGTTATAGACTGATGTGATATCAGAATAAGATTGATATGGTATCAGGATGAGATTAGTATGGTATCAGAATGAAATTTGTATGGTTTCAGTAAGAGATTGGTATGGGATCAGAATTATATTTGTATGGTATCAGAACAAGATTGGAATGGCATATGGATATGATTGGTTATAATCAGTATGAAATTTGTAATGATGTCACAGTTAGAGTACAATGGATTTTACGAATTCGTAACTTTACGAAGTTTCTGTTAATGACCCCAACTATATCAATGTAATGAGACTCAATGAAACAGAAGTCGTTTAAGGAATAATCCCTTTTATATTTCAGGACATATTGCATGGAAGACAAGAATTGGATTGGACTTGAGGGACGATGATTTATTTAAATGTCCATTATCATGGCACCAAATTTACATTTAGGCAGAGTCCTTTAAGGGTAACAGTTCGTTTATATCCTGCTGGGATAATAAAAATAAAAATGAATGCATTATTGCTGGTTCTGCTATCAGGGATATGTTTATTGAGTTGTGCGTCGGTGCAGTTATTTTATTCGCCAGCTTGTTGGGAGTAAATCGTGGTCCCATTGGGCCAATTAATGCACTTCCGAGTAGGAAAATACATCAATCAGATGCCACGCTTCATTGCATTGTAATCATATCCTATATTTAAGATGCATGTAACTGTTGACCAACGTGAAATGTTGCTTGATTTAATTGTCGCTGTATCCTTATGGGGAATGATGTTTTGGCATGTTTATTTATGACGTTAATTTGCAAACCCGGGTAGGGACTACCCAGGATTTTTCCACTTGCACTTTTACTTGCACTTGAAGCCTTGCTTCTCCATCTCTCATATGAACGCAAACATGTAATTCTTCTTTCAAACGAGTCTCCTTTTCCTGAGTACCATCCTCAATGCACCATCCTCCCCTCGGTGCACCCATGCTCATATACCTTCAAGTTGATCGTAATCAGTTCCTTGTACTCATTTTGCATAACATACCTTAGTGTTGTCTCATACATATTCAATTCTACTACTGGTTGTTTTTGTTTAGTGCTGTGAATGCTGAAAGGTTGTTTCGTTAACTAATAGTGATTTGAAGCTAAAAGGATATGCAAGTTATAGGTTGTAAAAATGTTGAGGTTGATGTTTTCTTTTAATAACAATCTTAATTTTGTTTTTATTGGCTTGTTTATGCCACAATCGCACCCCCCCCCCCAACTGAAAACTGAAAAGTTTGGCATTCGCACCCCCCTCCGCTACGCCTTGTGTCCAAATGCAATTTTTTGTCAGACCAGCATTAGAGACAACTGTAGCAATTAGCCTTAGTAACTCTCAAGCTTCTTAATAAGAAAATGTAAGCTTTAAGCTATCTTGGTGCTCATAGTTAAAACTGGCTCAATATTTTAATGGTTACATAATTTTGAGTCACCTCATTTATTAAGAATTGATATTGGAGACTTTATGGATTGAATTTAATTTTTTTAATGGTTTATTGTTTGTATATGCAAAACAAATTTTATGGAGGGCTGAGGCTTTGAGCAGTGTTGGCCCCTGAATTGAATTGATGTTGGTAATTGTCACTTTAAGTAACATTTTAAGTAACTTTTCAATTAATTAATTAAAATGAAAAAATCTTTTTGGAGAATTATACTTTGTGAGATATAAATGGGGTATCATATTTCGTGATTAGATTGTTTTTGTTTAGAAAACTGTGAAGTATGATTATTCTTCAATCCAAACAGTGATGATTTAAACATTGAAATGGCAAACATTTGTGGCATATTGGCTTTAAACTTTCCTATCAGATAACAATCAAACTGATGAAAAACATTCAAACTAGAATGTTAGGTAGTGCTGCACTTTAAAATATTGAAAAAATTGGAGGAATGTTATTTTGATTCTTTTTATTTGAAATATTTTGATTTTTAATCCATTTTGTATGTTTTTTTACCATTTGTAAAAATCCTTATTCAAATATGAAAAATATTAAACATATCATGAATTATTGGTATTTAGAATTATGATAACTGCATAAAAATCTCATAATGCTGAACTGCCTTAAGGTAGTTTTATGCTCTCACAAAAACACTTGTGAAATTGTCATTTAATTTCAATCGCATTTAATCAAAATATTTTGTTAATATATATTGCCTAGCCCACCCCCCCCCCACCCTCAACTTCCAGTGACCTTTTGAATTTCTCTCCTATAATGCTATTGACTATATTTAATTATTTGCATTATATAAATATAACTAACAAATAAAATATGATAATGTATTCTTTCTATAAATATCCACCAAAAGGTCAAAGAATTAAATATTTCATTAATTGTTTGTATTTTAATCCTGAAAATTATATAAAAATTCTTATCATGAGATCTACCTTAAAATTATGTCATCTTTTTATTCATCAACCCCTTGAGGCAAAGCTAGACTTTGATTGATTACATGATGAAAATGATGATAGATGGAACTTTAATGATGTTTATTTTAGTCACTCTTAAGTCACAAATTAGCCCACTCTTTTTATTTTCATTCCAGTTTTTCAAATTTCTTTTGATAGCAAATGTGAATCATCTACTTTTGGGAATAAAATAAAGTCTTGTAGATCATGAAAAATGATAGATATAAGTATATCAATACTTGCGAGTACATCCCTTGAATTTCGAAAATAAAACTGTTAATGTTATCAAATCATCTGCTGTACTGTTATTTTCACCTGGAATCCATTCATCACAAACAACATGGCAGAATTGTTTTACATAATAACAAAAAACAAGCAAACAAATTGTAACTGACCCCTGGATTCGGTAGCCCAATTGTGCTAATTAAGCTGAATGTTTTCATCAGTTTCCACTCATGCAAACAATAGGGTCACTTGGTTTGTCAAGTTTGGCCACTGTATTTGACCTCTCAGTTTGCAGTTCAGTGTTAGGATTATAGAGCTTATTGTATATAAGGTCAGGGTCACCAGTTGGAATTCATAATCACTTCTTGCATAGAACAGTGAACACATCTACATGTACAAGTACAAGAAAATCTAAAATTGAATTTTGAAGTGCTGATTCTAAACTGAGGCAATTGAATAATTAGGAGTTAAAACTACGCCAAGAGCTAAATAGACACTATTGGAGCTGAAATATTTGACTCTGAAAAAGGACTAACAGGATTTAAAAAATTGACACTAAATTGGATCATCATGAATAGCGTCCTGAGTAACATGCCAAACTACAGCAGCCCAGCACTGCAGCATCAAGCCAGTGAGTATGGCAGAACGTCGATGCCTCATATGCAGATCTCCCGATCTAACTTCTCTGTGAATGACTTACTGGGAATGACACAAGGAGAACCGCAAGTTCCATCACCAGGGGAGACATCACCTTATAGTATCCAGAGCTCTGATAGTGGCACGAGCCTTGATGATAGGAATCCAAGGTACGATATACCAACAAGTTCAATACAAGACTCTCGCTCCATACCAGATGCTAGGCCTATACAACATGACACAAGGCCCATACATCATGATGCTAGGCCAATACAGCAAGATGCTAGACCTCTACAGCAGGATACTAGCCCTATACAACAACACCCCAGGGCAATTCTGCAAGATTCTCGAGCCAACCAACAAGACTCGAGGGCTAACGAGCAAGCCACAAGAGCTCACCAGGAATCATATGGGCCAACAGATTACACTGGACCATATCATAACTTTAATCCAAATTATAGCGCTGCATCGTATGCAAACCTGACTACTTCACAAGCACAAGGTCTGTCTACTCAAGCTAATGCTACAGCTGCTCAAGCCCTAGCTGCCCATCAAGCTGCAGCACAATCTCAAGCTGCAGCACAATCTCAAGCTGCAGCACAATCTCAAGCTGCAGCACAATCTCAAGCAGGTCAGTCTGAAAGCTTCAGCACTCCCGTGCCGGCTCATAGCCACTACCCCACATACGCACATAGCCAGTCTTCAGGTTCTCCAGATAGTGAGACCGATGGTGCCTGGATGAGACCTGAACATATCCAACCATGGATGCAACAGGGATATGTTAAACCTGAGCCTGGTAGCTATGCAGGGTCTTACTACGCCGCTGCATACCCTGGAACTCCCATGTACCCCTGGCATTATAATCCTGCAGCATACCCAACTGATGGTAAAACAACCCCGGAGGGTTATCCAGCAGATAGCACTAGCCCACCAAATGATGAGATTCTAAACTATGAAACTGAGAAGAAAGATGTAACAAGGAAAGCGAAGAAACCGAGAAGACGCCACCGTACCAATTACACCGATTTCCAGACACAGGAACTTGAGAAGTTATTCAAAGAGGCCCACTACCCTGATGTTTACATGAGAGAAATGGCCGCCATGAAGACCGGGATTGCCGAGGATCGTATTCAGGTATGGTTCCAGAACAAGCGTGCCAAGTGGAGGAAAACGACAAAATCTTGGGGTCAAGGTCAGACCTCTATCATGGCTCAGTACGGTCTCTATGGAGCAATGGTACGTCACTCGCTACCCATTCCAGAAACTATCAAGAAAGACATTCAATCTAAATCCAGCCCGGATGAAACATCTGCCCCGTGGTTGGTCGGCATGCATAAGCGTGCACAGGAAGTGAAAAAGGGCGAAAACGAAGGTAAAGAGAATATTAACACAGGCGCCGACTCTCAACAACATGTACAATGGATGACCAATAATAATCAGGGTAAAGAGAACATGATCATGACCCCTGAATCGCACCACGATCATGTCAGTGACATAAGTGATGAATCCCATTCGGATAACTCTCTAGTTGTCAACACCAATCACCCAATGAAGTTGGAACCACAATAGACAGTTTTCTAATAGTAACACACATCCTATACCTGATGACCAATTTACATAAAAATTACATTCATCTGTTCATAAAAATTGCTCACAGTGTGTCAAGCCAAAATCTATTGACAAAGAAATCTCAGAATTTTCAAATCTTCAATTTACGTTTGAGTAACATCTTTTGTACAATTTGAAAATTCAAAGTTAAGTTGTATTTTCGATGCATTAAAAAACTGAACAGAAGTTGTGATATTTACTCATTAGTTCTGATATTCTGTAAGTAAAATGTAAATAGGTTTTTTAAGTAAGACGCCAATCAAAATGATTAATGGTATGTGTTATATCATTATGCTGTAAATAGAATTTAAAGCCAAGAGGTCGCAACGACCTATAGTTTATAACAGGTAACTAGGACTATCACCTTAAGCATCAGAAAGATTGTGTTTCGTGATAGCATAAGATATTAAGAGAAGGATAATGGCCATGTTAAAAGAATTTGGAACATCTTATTGCTCTTAAAGCAGATTTTATGTCAGTGTCCCTGCAGTTAATATCCTATTTTCCCCATTGTATTATTTATATGGCGGTATATTTATGGAGATTTTTAGCAGATTTCTAATTAAAACTACAATCATCAAGTGCATATTTATGAGACATGTATTATGTAGTAACCTTTGTTCTGATATCAGTGTCATCTATATGTCATTTAATTAATTTCTTGAATATTGAGTTATGTAGTTGATTTTCAGGATGTTTCTACTTGTGATTATTTGTTTTGTGACGCGTGACAACAATTTATATTAAAGTGCAATTTTGTTCTTTCGTGATGTAACTTATTTAGTAACGGAAGTTCAACTTTAACAATGTTTCAATGTGGAATTCGTTTTTGTGACATGTACTAATCATTCAGTTATTGTTGTTTCGTAATCTGACTTATTTAGTATCAGAAGTTTATATTTAAAGATATTAAAAATGCAGTTGATTGTTTTGTGACATGTAATAATCATTGATGTTCGAGTGCAATTTTTGCAGTTTCGCAATGTACGTAATAATTGTTAGAAGTTGATCTTTAAAGATGTTAGAAGCGCAATTAATTGTAATTAACTTGTAATATTTATTTTCATTATATTCTTTTCTTCCAGTGCAATCTTGCTGTTCTTAAATGATCTCACATTTAGTGTACCGGTGATTGATCTTTATAAGTATAGCTTAACATACAACCTTTTTGTACAGTGTATATATTGTTTTACATCACCATTAGTTTATAATTAGTAAGTTAGTAATAATAATTTTTAAGAAAAACATCTATGTTGTTCGTTTAAGTATTATTCAAGTATTGATGAATTAAAATTTCTTTCGTTTTAAATGAGAAGCTTGACTGATCGCAGTACATGAATATTTATGAACAAAAATCTCTTTCATTTCAAATAAGAAGCTTGACTGATCCCAGCCGATAAAATTCTGCACCATAGTTAAACTCCCGAATTTCCCTGAGAAAATTATTCAAAATATAAAGTCCAATTAAAGCGATTCCATTTTCTGGATTCTGGAGATGTTTAACGTGGATTTCAACTCACTGAAATGTTAGTTAAAAACAGGCTGATGTTGGTTAAACCCGAATTACACTACATGAATTTAACATTAAAACTTCAATAAGTGTATCTTGTTTACAACCAAAATTTCAATTTCTAAATCTCAACTAGTCATTGTTTACATATAATTTTTGAATAACTCATAGGGCCAAAACTTCTTGACATATTCAAAAGCCTTAAATTATTTTCAAAAACAGCTACATAGGGTCTATCTATCTCAGAGATCAGTAATTGCATACATATACTTGTTTGATGCACCCCAACCATTCCACTTTAGCTATACCACCTCCATTTAGAAACTCTAAAACAATGGTTTGTTTTAAAATTGCATAAACTGTTACATTTTATAAAATTCATAAGTATAAAGAATATTCATCTTATTATCTTGTTAGACTAATATGTCATGTTTTGATACAATTGTCAATAAAAGAAATATATATCTGCATATTTATGTCACCATCAGGAAGTTGTAACATATTGTTATAGCCCATTATTTTTTGTGATGGGTCTTGGCATGGTTTACTTTTACTGTGCCATGATAACCTAAAATGTTAATGTGTCTTATCCATGATAACCCATAATGTTAATGTGTCTTATGTTTTATTGTGTCTTATTCATGTTAACCTATAATGTTAATGTGTCTTATCCATGATGACCCATTATGTTAATGTGTCTTATCCATGTTAACCAATAATGTTAATATGTCTTATCCATAATGACCTATAACAATGTAACCTAATGTGTCTTGTTTATGTCATTTAATATGTCATGTTAATGTGTCTTATCCATGTTGACCTATAATGTTAATGTGTCTAATATCTTATCTATATTGACCTATAATGTTAATGTGTCTTATCCATGTTGACCTATAATGTTAATGTGTCTTATCTATGTCGACCCATAATGTTAATGTGTCTTATCCATGTTAACCTATAATGTTAATGTGTCTAATATCTTATCTATATTGACCTATAATGTTAATGTGTCTTATCCATGTTGACCTATAATGTTAATGTGTCTTATCTATGTTGACCCATAATGTTAATGTGTCTTATCTATGTCGACCCATAATGTTAATGTGTCTTATCCATGTTAACCTATAATGTTAATGTGTCTTATCCATAATGACCTATAACAATGTAAATTAATGTGTCTTGTTTATGTCATTTCTAAAATACATCCTGTCTAAAAAACGATGCCATAATAACCTAAATTATTTTACTTTTTTTATGAACAATTATTTGACGCCTCTTCATAATCCCTGCTTGAAATCTTTAATCTTTTAATGGTTACAATGTAATGGGAGACCAGTAGGCATCAACGGCACTTTATCACCTAATATGGCTTCGTTGTGCTATGTTGTTATGGTGCTTTTATTACCCAGGTTGTACTGCCCCAGGGTGGAGACAAATTGTCTTTTTATCAATTAATCTAAATAATAAAACCGTGCGGTGGTTTTATAATAGACATTAAATTGCATTTAACCATTATGATATATCTATGGGAGCGGGTCAACATCCTCCCCATTTAGTGTTTATCACCACGGTAACCGCAACAAAATGTTCTTATTTTGTTATTTGTTAAATCATAGCTCATAAGTTCAGGTACCAAGAATACTAGATTAAATATTTTTAAACAAATCATGAAATACTCAAGTTTTGAACTCGTATAGAATTGGAAAATTATAGATGATTCAGAAATGTTTTTCATTATCCTAAATGTTTCAGAGCATGGTAAAAATGTTACTAAATGTCAGCAGTTATTTAGATTACCAGCACCCATGGGAGTATTAGACAAATTAATTCGTTTTACTAATTGGTGTAGTTAAGTAACTATAAAAACCTATCGGGGCATCTGGAAAGGCGACCAAATTCTAACGCAAGCCTTTTTTTTATATTTGAGTAATTTCTGTCTTTGACAAATCTGATTTTTTTAAATGGCAAGATAAATTGATATATTGGACTTTCTATCACTCCCATGTTGAAATGGACCATGGCCATACCATGGTATACCATGGTATGACCATGGTATACCATGGTATATGGCCATGAAATGCAATGAAATACCATGGTAATACCATGGCCGATCATGAACGTTAAATGGCACCATTGCATTTCATTGTTAACAGTGCATTTTTAACATGGAGTTTTCCATTGAAAAAATACTGCCGTTTCGCAGTATTTCATGGTCAGAAACCATCAAATGCAATGATATCATGGTCAAGTTCTCGGCCATGATATCATTGCATTTGATGGTTTCTTGACCATGATATCATTGCATTTGATGGTTTGTGACCATGAAATACTGTGAAACGGCAGTATTTTTTCAATGGGAAACTCCATGTTAAAAAAACGCTTCTGACCATGAAATGCAATGGTGCCATTTAACGATCATGATATACCATGGTATACCATGGTCAATTAACATGTAATTTTGTATCTAAAAAATACCACCGTTTCACAGTATTTCATGGTCAAATACCATCAAATGCAGTGATATCATGGTCTAGACATTTAACCATGATATGCAATGGAGCCATTTATTTATCACAATCTACTATGGTATACTGTGGAAACTATAATTGAAATTTTGCATTTAAAAATACTGCTATTTTGCAGTATTTCATGGTTGCAAACCATCAAATGCAATGAAGTACAGTCAAGATGTTTAATCGAAGACTGGAGGTTTGACTTACAAATTATTAAGTTGATCTCCTATTTAAGCGACAACAGTCAAATAAAAGTAAAGCATATTTGTTTAACAAAAAAAAAATTGTTTCTAGGGTTATTAACTTAATTATTCATAATAGAAATTAATTTATTAAATAAAGGAACAAAAGTATATAAAGTTGTGATTTTGATGAATATCAAAATCACTAATTATAATAATTTGGTTATCTAATCAACATTTATTAATAAAGATATTTCATGTAAAAAATACTTTTTGAACATGGCCTTTCATTGTATTTCACTGCATTGCAAGAAAGATCATTGCATTTCATTGCATATCATGATCAATCATTGTATTTCATTGCATTTCATGGTTAATCGTGGTATTTCATTGCATATCATGATCCATTTCAACTCTGACCAATTTTAGACTTGAGACTCTTGTAGAGTTCTTTTTAGCAATGAAATACCATGGTATAACCATGGTATTTGATGGTCAGGTTTGACAATGAAATGCTATGAAATACAATCAACCACGAAATGCAATGATATGCCATGATAAATGATAGTTATGATTACGGCAATGAAATACCATGGTGTGACCATAGTATTTGATGGTCAGGTTTGACAATAAAATGCCATGAAATACCACCAACCATGAAATGCAATGATAAAACCATGATAAATGAGAGTTATGATTTTGGCAATGAAATGACATGGTATGACCATGGTAATTGATTGTCACACGGTACAATGAAATGCAATGAAATGTCATCAACCATGATATACAATGGTAATACCATGGTAAATGATGGTCAGGTACATAACAATAAAATATCATGGTATGACCATGACATTTGATTGTCAAATTATACAATGAAATACCATCAACCATGATATACAATGGTAATACCATGGTAAATGATGGTCAGGAACATGGCAATGAAATACCATGGTATGACCATGGTATTTGATTGTCACATCTTATAATGAAATGCCATCAACCATGATATACCATGGTAAATTATGGTCAGGAACATGGCATTGAAATACCATGGTATTTGATTGTCACATCTCACAATGAAATGCCATGAAATGCAATCAACCATGATATACCATGGTAATACCATGGTAAATGATGGTCAGGAACATGGCAATGAAATACCATGGTATTTGATGGCAAACTTTGGACATGAAATACCATGAAACATGGTATAACATGATATACCATGGTATACCATGGTCAAAAATTGACCAAAAAAACATCATTGCCACCATGGTCAGAGTTGATGGTAATTTCATTGCCGATCATGATAGACCATGGTAAACCATGGTATACCATGGTATCATGGTTTACGTTTAAACATGGTCCCTTGCTTCATTGCAATCAGTTGGTATTACAAACAACCCGAATTCTTGTTTAGGTATTTCCAAATAATTATCCCACCTTTGTGTGCTATATTGTGATCAGTTTGCCAGGTGGGCAGGCGGTTTGCTGGGTGGATGGGCGTCCCAATAAACCTTGTCTACAGTTTCCAGCCAAACCATTTGAGGGATTCATCTGAAATTTTTAAACTTTAACTTATCTTTTCTTCATCAGATTCTGTATAACAACTAATATACTTTGGCAAGACCAGCTGCATTCCTTAATAAAACAATACCTTAAAGGATTTTTGAAATAGAAACGCAGTGTACTTATGTCCATTAGAGCATCAAATTTGATTTCTGTTCTGGAAAACAGCACTTTAAAGTATTGCAAATCTCTGAGACACTCTGACATATATCGCCATTAAATCACTTTATTAATTAAGACAAAATTTACTATAGGTAGGTCTGCAGCGTGCTTAATCTTGACAATTTTAAGACAACACTGCGACCTCCCCACGAATAGAGCTCTTGTATCCTGCATCCTGTTGAAAATATGTTAATCACATGCTACCCTCATCTTTGCACGCTCTGGTCTTCACTGGGTTATGGGAGCAGAGTGAACGAAGATGTGCTGCCTTGTTAAGAAAACAAATCCTAGGGGGATCACTATGTAAGCATGTTCACAATATCTTGTAGAGCTAGGTGTATGTATAACTTAAGGTTTGAGCTTGCAAGGGGGTTAAATATGGCAAACATGTGCTCTGAATGAGGTCAGGCCCGTAGCCAGGGGGGGTTCACCCCCCCCCTGACCAAACATTCTGAGCACTTTTTAAGTGATTTTGGCCATTTTTGGACCAAAATTGTCACAAGTGAATCCCCCTGGAATTTTTCAAAAAGTGAACCCCCCTTTGGCAAATCCTGACTATGGCCAGGAGGTATTATCTGTCTTGAGCAGGTAGTGTATGTTTTTAATGATACATTGATGTTTGAAAATTTACCCTGCACTCAGAGTCTAGTTATAAACTACCCTCTGCCTAGTATAGACTTCAGTACAGTTTAACAGTCCCGCCTAAATGAGCAATTCCCGGGACAGCTTGGGTCATCAATTCAAACCTACCCCGCTGTCTTTTTCTCAACCAATCCGCAAGTTGGAAGGAGCATGTTTTCTAAACGGTTGCATGATAATTGTATGTGCGATGATGTCAAAGTAAATGACCATATATAGAAACCCAAGGGTCTTATTTTCGTACAGTCATAACCTACTATTCCTTGAAAGTCATTTTGTACTTTTAAATAAATGATAACTTGTGAGCAAAGTGTGAGTCACGACCATTCTTAATTGACACCCGGATTAGCAAAGTCAAAGTCAGACTGTACCTAGTATATTCTTATTACATAAGCTTCAGACAGAAACGTTCTTGGGATTGGGATTCAATTTCAATGAATATGCAAACATCCACCATTTCTGACGGAATCAATACAGTAATTTTGTTGACTTCTAATTCAACTGTCAACTTTGGGAAAGTTATTCTCTTGATGTCCACCTGATTGCATTTTTGCCAGATGGAACAAATGTAGCTTAAGTAATCAATTGTTTTATGGATGCTTACAGTAAAACATTTGTATAAGTGGAACACCTTTGGTACCTCTAAAAGTGTTCCACTTAGGAGGTATTCCACAAACAGAAGTTAATTTACCAATAAGTGAATTTTTGCCAGATGGAACAAATTTAGCCTAAGTAATCAATCATTTTATGGTATACTTACAGTAAAACATTTGTATAAGTGGAACACCTTTGGTACCTCTAAAAGTGTTCCACTTAGGAGGTATTCCACAAACAGAAGTTAATTTACCAATAAGTGAATTTTTGCCAGATGGAACAAATGTAGCTTTAGTAATCAATTCTTTTATGGTATACTTACAGTAAAACCTATGTATATGTGGAACACCTTTGGTACCTCTAAAAGTGTTCCACTTAGTAGGTATTCCACTTACAGAAGTTCATTTATCAATAAGTGAATATTTGCCAGATGGAACAAATGTAGCTTCAGTAATCAATCGTTTTATGGTATACTTACAGTAAAACATTTGTATAAGTGGAACACCTTTGGTACCTCTAAAAGTGTTCCACTTGGGAAATGTTCCACTTACAGAATTTCATTTACCAATAAGTGAATAGACTGCAGGACTTTGAAAGGCGTTTCACTTATGGAGGTGTTCCACTTACAGAGGTGTTCCACTTGGAAGGTGT